TACTTTCATAAAAGTTACAATTACATTTTAAAACTACTTTACAATGAGTTTCATTAATATCAATAATACTCCTTTCGGTTTTTTTTTTGGTCGGTCATGGGGCTTGAACTCTGGGCCTGGGTGCTGTCCTTCAGCTCTTCAGCTCAAGGTGAGCACTCTACCACTTGAGCCACAGCACCACTTCCAGTTTCCTGGTAGTTTATTGGAAATAAGAGTCTCACCGCAATTCTCAGATCTCAGCCTCCTGAGTAGCTAGGATTACAGGAGTGAGCCAATGGCACCCGGCTAGTAATATTCCTTTCTATCACATTAACTCCTATTTCTCATTATTATCCTGCCTATTCTCACATTCTGATATTAGAAAGTGATGTTACCTTACTGAGCTCCTCTTAAAACTCACTTCTTAGCTTACTATTATATAACATCCAAAATACTTCAGGTTCTCAGCTTTAATGCTCTCTCCTTCAGTTGGAAGCATACACACCATAGCAGCTGTCTTCCACACATTATACCATGATCCTCTAAGCCAATTAGTATGATCATATTTCAAATTTATAAACCCATGGGAAAAGTTTATTAACAATGTCACCTAGACATCTGTTTCTGAGAACGACAAAAGGGTTAACTTGTGCTCTCTTTAATTTTTCATCTCGAAGGAATTAAACTACCCAGAATGTTTGTTTTTAATATCAGAAAAGACTTCTTGTCTCATTTTCATTACATGTTCAAGCCTCAAAAAAAGCAATCTCACTCATTTTTTCATTTGTTCACTAAATATTTACTTTCAGTGAGTTATTGGCCAATTATTGTTCTGAACAATGAAAATATAGCAAAAGACAAAAATTGCAGCCCAAATAAAGAATAAAATTCAAATAGCAGGAAAAAAAAACAGCAAAATGAATCTAGAGTATATAATATAATAGACTGTGATAAAACTAAGAAAACCCAGTGAAAAGAAAATAATCAAGAAGTATGAGTTACTGTGTTTGTATGTGTATGGTGGGGGGGGGGGGGGGGGACTTAAGACACAGTAGCAAGAAAAATACTGCTGAGAAATTGATATGATTCAGTAAAGTCTCCAAAGACAGCTCACAGTTTGTAACTATCTTTTATTTCTCTATACCATCTGTCATATACATACATACACATACCCAAACATATTTCATTTAAATCTTGTTACATGATCATACAATTAGTAAAACATGTTAAAACTGGTTTATAAAAATACTTATGAAATCTCTAAACCATTATCATAAATATCTAAGCCATAAATGTGCATGGTAGTCCCAAGGCAGATAAAAAACCTTAAATTTCAAAATGCTCTATAATAAAGTATGTGAACACACCTGAAGTAAAAACACATTATATTGTAGGATTCAAACAATCAAAAGCAAAGTTTTCAAGGAACCAAATACATGATCACATTACAATTTTACATACAGATCTATCAACAACTCTAAACATGACACTAATGTTGAAGATTAGGTGAATTTCCTAAACAGCATGAAAAGTTGTAAAACTTTACTCTTTAAATATTATAGGTGTCACAGATAATATTTCCTATCCACCTTACTTTTAGAAAAGTTGAAAAGAAAATTAATGTGACCCTAGAAATAGATTCAACTTATGAACAGTAATATGAATATTAAGATAAAGAATACATACTTATTTAAATATAGTTCACTCTTTAAGTATGTTTAGGGAAACATTAAAAGCCACAGAAGTCCAGCTGGAGAATATGGAACAGATTCAGATAAGATTAATACCTTCTTAGGTATCAGAACTGAAAATGGATGTCTGAGTGCTGAAATGAATATCATAATAATCTCCTAATTTGAAAATAAAAACCTATCAAAAGTATTAATATGACTAGTTATATAAAAGAGGTTGTTAAACAGCACATTGAAGGAATTTGATTAAATAGTCATCAACAAAGCTATTTATTTGTGCCTCCCTGAAATAAAGGTATTGAAAAGAAAATGATCAAACCTGGTCCACTTTCTGTGCCAATAAATTTTAAGTAGAATATCATCAAACAAACACACACACACACACACACACACACACACACACACACACACACACACACTGAGTAGCTTTTTTTTTTTTTTTTTTGGCTACAAGAGCAGAAGTAAACACATGAAACAAGACACCCTGGTCCACAAAGCCTAGATATTATCTATCTGCCTTTACTAAAGTATATGCCAATCACTTCTTAAAAGACTGGCAAGAATCTCACCTGTAGGAACAGTTGTGGTTTGGATCTCGAATTCATCCTCATATCATTCTATCTTTAGATTCTCATCAGACTAATGTATTTTTAATAATAATAAAATCAATACAATTCCTAAAATGAATTTATTTCTCATTTTTGTTATATCAATGACACAAAGTAGTAAGTTTCATTGGTATTCCTTATCATGTTCTCCTCTATTACTCTTCCTTATTACCTACTCTTCACTGTCCCGTTTTGCTTTCCACATCCCTAATCATCTCTTTTACTTTCATTTTTTCTTTCTTTGTTTTTTCTTACTAAATTCCGTACATCAGATAAAACAAAGGACTTGTCGGAGATTGGCTTTGAATTCATTTAACATGATGATCTCCAGTGTTGTTTGCCTACAAATGACATAATTTTTTACCTCTTTATGGCTGAATAAACTAGTATAGGTGTACTACATTGTTTTTATCTATCCACCCACTGATAGGCACCTAAGCCTAGACTAAATTCTTAACTTAGTGACTGTGAATAATGCTACAGTATACATGGCATATAGTTATTTAATAACCTTTAAGAACATAATCAAGAGTATGGATCGATATGACAGTTCTGTTTATTTGTTTGTATGGCTTATGTTGTTTGAGACAGGATCTTACTAGCCTGCAACGCTTCAGCCTATGCTGGCCTCTAACTTGCCATCCTCCTGCCTCAGCTTCCAGAGGAGAAGGTGTGAGCCAACATGTCATGCTAGTATTTCTATTTTTAAGTTTTTAGACATCTCATAGAAGGTGGTACTATTTACATCACTACAACAGTGTGTAAGGGGCTCCCCCATCCTTGCCAATCTGGTTTTAGTCTTCTACATGAGAATATCCAGTGTAATCAGCACTACCTGCTAAAGATGCTGTCTTTTTTCTAATGTATGCTTTTGGTACCTTTGTCTTCTATTCCATTAGTTTACAAAGGTTTGTTTTTGTGCAGGTACCATGCTAATTTTGTTAGCATATAACATTTTTTGAGGAATGTTCTCTTCAGAAGCATGATGTCAAGAAATCCTCAGACTAATTTCCCATTTTTAATGTGACTACCACTTAGGTAAAAATGGCAATACAGCAAAACTTTCAAAATGTGAGCTAGATGCTGATGGTTCAGGCCTACTTCTAGCTACTCACAAGGTTAAGATACAATGATCACAAAAAGGCCCATCTCAAATATAACAAGTAAGAAGCCAGGCTGAAGATATGGTTCAAGTGGCAGAGTAGCTACCAAGCAAGCAAGCCTACTGAGTGACAAGCACTGAGTTCAAACCCTGGAATTGGCATTAAAAAAAAAAACTTCTTTATGTTCTTATATGTATTTACTTGTGCATTATTTTAATATTTACTTTAGCCTGCCTAATTAACACAAATCTTTTTGTTTCTACTTTACACTTAGTAATGCTAAACATAATTCCTGTAAGTTATAACACTTAACTTACAATGATACTTTTATGCAGGTATTTCAAAATACTCACTGAAAAATAAACTATAGAGAAATCTTTTTTAGGAAATCCCTTTAAGAAATCTTATGTTGCTGTTTTATTACCTTCACTGACTGACAACCTACATTTTATTAATTATATATTGGCCAACTGAGCTCATAAGTGATACTCATCTACCTAACTTTTTTCCCTGATATCATCTTTCAACAAGCGAGGTATGGTTCTACTATTGTGGTAAATAAAATGAAACAATTTCTTTTTATGAAGCAAAGCAATAGTAGAAAAAATACAAACCTTAAAAATAGGATCTCAAATCTCTGTTTTTAACTTTTGCTTTTATTTTTATTGTTACTTCCACTGTTAAATCTTATCCTTTCTACAAAAGTACAGAAAGCTTAAACATCTAATTTCAACATGACACACTGTGGGACACAGTCAAAGAGCTACTAAGTCAGGAAAATATATGATACATGACATGCAAAATTTCAGAACTCATCTGAACTTTATAAATATAAATCTCAGGCTAAGTGCTACACAAACCTAAATCCCTTATATAAAAACCATTATTATTTATAAAGACATTTAATTATTAAAGCTAACACAAAAATATTTTCTCGGAATTTTAGAAAAGCACAACTGTAGAGAATACCCAATCAACACAAATTGTTCTTCTTTCTTCTTAAAAAAAATTCCAATTTTAAAAGTAATTCTTGGAAAGAAAATGCAATAATTAGTATATGTCTAGTATATGTCTAAATAGTATATGTCTAATTTTCTCAGATGAGCAGAAAAGCTCAAAATCTATGTATATATAACCATATAAAATGATGCTAAGTGAAATGAACCCCAAGATATGGACACAAGAGGTCTTTCTTTGTTGTTGTCTTAAATGTACTATGCAATTTTTTTTGTTTCTTTAGTATGTTCTTCCCCATGTGGTATATCCCCTGTTCTCACTGTACTTGGTTTTGGTACCCTGCGTTTTGTATATATATTTATCTAATTTGAGGAGAAGAAGGGGAATAACAAAATGCTGAAACAAGAACACAAGATGACCCTTGCAACAATGATACTCACAAGACAACTTCAGGGGGGTGAATTGGCAGGGGAGGTGAGGGAGGTGGGGGAAGGAAGGGATAATAGGAGAAAAACAAAGAAGGGGGTAACAATGCTCAATAAGAAATGTACTCATTACCTTACTCATGTAACTGTAACCTCTATGTATAGCATCTTTACAAGAAAATAAAAATTTTTTTAAATAAAATAAAAATAAGGGAATAATGAAATGTTCAAACTTACCAGAACTGTGGCAGTAGTCCATATGTTGTGGAACTTGGATAGTGAAGGCTACCAAATCTGGAGCTAAAAGAGATTCTGGCTTTCTAGTCTCATTGAGCCACTTGGTACTATGAAGGTCTTTAGTGTCAGAGGGACCTTGAAGCAAAGGAACCAGCTTCTCTTTTCCACTGTCTCCTGAGTAAAAATAGTTATTGAATGAAACAAAAATAAAAACTCTTCAGTAAAATGTAAGAATAGCCTGGTGACACTTGATCTTAAAACATACGAATACAAAAACATTTCAATTAAATTTCTGAATTTTAAGGATACATTTAGTTGATAATTTGTAAATCTGACTGGTAAAACTACTTTTAAAATGTTCCTAATTTTGTTGTTGTAATTGTTATTGGTTTTCATGGTACTGGCTTGCACTCAGTAGACAGGCACTCTAAAAATGAGCCATGACTCTGCTCTGTTTTGCATAGACTTTAAAGTTTCATTTTTTTGCCTGGCACATCCAGGTACATGACCCACCTATTTTACTGTTCATAATATAGATGGGATGATTATACACCCAGCTATCAGTTGAAAAGTGGGTCTCTTCTGTGTGCTGAGGCTAGCTGAGAATAGCATCCTGAACCTAATTTACCAAAAAGCTAGGATTACAAGCCATGAGCCACCAGTGGCCGGGTCCATTGTTAATTTTTAAAATTATGTTTCAACTTTTGCTAATAAATGTAGTCTCTGTTCAATTTCTTTTATAATGGACTGTAATCCTAGCTGAGGGTCTGAGATCTGAGGACTGCAGTTCAAATCCAGCGGTGGACATGAAAATCCATGAGACTCTTATCTCCAATTAAACACCAAAAAGTCAAAACTGGAGCTATGGCTCAAGTGGCAGAGCACTAGCCTTGAATAAGAAAGGTTAAGGACAGTGTTCAGACCCTGAATTTAAGCTCTAGGACTAGCACTAAAAAATATATATACAAATTTTTATTTATATATATATAAACACTCAGTTTTTAAAAATTAAATGCAATAATTACAATTATAATCTTATCTTGAAATTTAGTCTGTACTGAAAATATTACAAATAATTTAAGGAAACCATTGTAAAATACCAGTTGGTAAAGCAAAGTCAATTATAACTCTGAAAACATCCAGATTTTATTTAATCCTGCAATACTAATATTTTAATATTTAAGTGTCACATATAACTCCGAATTTCCCAAAAAGTATCAGAAAAAATGTTATTTTTCCCCTTTGTAAAGCTGTAAGGTTCGTTTCTTAAATAAAATTAATTTGTTAAAGTCAAGAAGTATCATCCTGGCACTATTAAAAAAATTTTAAGGCAAATTAAAAAAAAATTAAAACCTCTGATTCATAGGAACAATGAGTAAATTCTTGTTTCAGTAACGCTCCTTGTAAAATGCAAGGCCAATTCTCCTATACAGGCAATAAAGTTTTACACGATCCAGCTGCACATACCTGGGGCTTTGGCACAAATTTTTATTGATCCCATGGTCCCAGAGGCACATTTGACCAATGATGTGCTGCAGTACTTCAATTCAAGATTCTGGATTGAGCCCTCAAGAGTTGGCAGGGGATTCTTAGATTTCACACCTAATAAAAGAAAACTGCAAATGTACTAGCCGATTGAATTTAAATAATTTTTATACTCCTTCACCAAGGCATTTAAACTTAATTATATTTTAATTATCTACCTCAGATGTTCTTATGGTATTTGTGTTAAGTTTCAGAGTTCAGTGTTTAAAAGGTGAAAGGATATAATTTTAAAATAAATGGGCTGAACTCTCATAACTATACTTATGCAGTCAGCTCTTCATTAATTAAGTTCAAGAAAAAAAAGCAAATGTACAAATATTTACCTTAAAAACAGAAGAGGTTTTTAAATCATATTTGACTTTATAATTTTCTTTTTGAAGTATTATTTATTTTGGTGGAGATATTTATAGAGAAAGCTACCAGAGTAATAAAATGTATTGGTGACATGGAGTAAAGAGATATAAAATAACAAGGTTCTTAACTAAAAGCACATCTTATAAGCAAAAGAAACCAAAGGAATTTTATAAATTAACCAATTTCATCACATAACAAAAAAGGTAAATATTAATATATCTATTGCATACTACTTGGTAAAGGATAAAGGTAACAATTACCATAAAAATGGCTGATTTGAAAACTTGATCTGAAGGGTAAAGGCAGAGAAGCCTAAAGAACATTGTTCTGACAGTACTGGGGATTAATCATAACCATTCAACATTATCATCATCATCATCATCTTATCAACATTTACTGAAAACTTACTATGTGTTATGCCTATAAAAACCACTCCATTCTCACAAAGGCCTCTAATATAGACATTATTATCTAAAAACATCTGTTGTATTAAGGCACTAGGTTTGTAGAAAGTTATTAGATCACAAATAGAATACTAAAGTATCCTCAAGTCCAACAGTAGTATCTAAACATATGCAATAAAACATACAGAAACATACAGGCAAATATCTAAGAAGCTGAAAAAAAAAATGGTTGCTCTAAAAAACAGTGTTGGTTACAGGAAGGGTTACCCCTTTTGTTATAAGCTGTTCAAAACCATAATTTACTAAAAACAAAGCAAAAGGTTATCCAGAACCATCTAGTAGCCAAAACCCATGAGAGTGTGTTAGTTTCTTGCAAAACATATTCTTGCCATATAATCTTGCAATTGTGTACTTCAGTATTTACCCAAAGGAGTTAGAATTTAAACCCACACAAAACCCTACACACCAATATTTATAGCAGATTTATTCATAATTGCATGAGGCCCTGGGTACTATACCTAAAAATGCAAGGAAGAAAGAGAGAGAGGGATCAAAACAGGCTATAGACTATAGGATTCTAAGTATATAACCTTCTACAAAAAGTGAAGTATGAAGACAATAAAAAGATCAGTAACTACCAGAGATTGGGAGCACTGGAGTCACAAATATTCAGAGCAGAGAGGATTTTTGGAGCTGTGAATACACTGTATGGTCCTGTAATCGTTGAGTATACACATTGTGCAAACCCACAGGATGCACAACACTATGAGTGAACCTAACATAACTATGGACTTGCATGATTATGTGCCAATACCAGTTCATCAGTAATACAAATGGAGAAGTTGATATTGGGGGAGGCCATGTATATGTGGGATGAGTCAGGGAAGGGAAAATGAGAAATCTTTGTACCTTCTTTTCAATTGTACTGTGACCAAAACTGTTCTTTTCAAACTGTCTTTTAAAAATGTAAACTAGTAATAACAACAACCTGCTCTTTTCCAAGCTTATTTACTTAAATTTGATCAGTCAACTCTATTATGATTCCATGTATAAAAAGGTGAACATATCTTGGGGTTCACTTCACTTAGCATCATCTTGTATGGACATAAGAGGTCTTTCTTTGTTGTTTTAATGTACTATGTGATTTTTTTTTGTTTGTTTCCTTCCCCCATGGTATATCACCTGTTGTCACTGTACTTGATTTTGGTACCCTGCATCTTGTCTATACATTTGTCTAATTTGGAGAGGGGAAGGGAAATAACAAAACGCTAAAACATGGACATAGGATGACCTGTTGCAATAATGATACCCACAAGACAGTATATTGGAAATGAACTTTACAATTTCGGGGGTGGGGAGAGGAAGGGCTAATGGAAGAACAACAAGGGAAGAGGTAACAATGCTCAACAAGGAATGTACTTATTGCCTTACTCATGTAACTGTAACCCCCCTCTATACAGCATCTATACAAAAAAATAATTTTTTTAAAAAGGTGAACACTTAGCTAGGCACTGGTGGTTCACACCTATAATCCTAGTTACTCGGGAGACTGAGATCTGAGGATCACAGTTCAAGCCAGTGTGGGCAAGAAAGTCTGTGAGACTCTTATTTCCAACAAACCACCAGAAAACAGGAAGTGGTGCTGTGGCTCAAGTGGTAGAGCACTTGCCTTGAGCTGAAGAGCTGAGGAACAGCACCCAGGACCAGAGTTCAAGCCCCACAACACACACACACACACACACACACACACACACACACACACACACACACACACACACACACTTGTTAGCATATAGATGTAACATGTCATTTACAACTCCTCCCTTCTGGTCCCCACCCCCTCTTGGTGATTAAAAGCCAAGTTCAGTGATTACTAAGGTGGCCATAGTAAACCATGCCAATGTACATATCAAGTGCCTGTTTTGCTCTCTGCTTTTCAGTTTTTCTTTCTTCTTACTCCTCCTTCCTTTTCCTCCTTTCTTCTTTTTTCCCTTCCCTCTTCATCTTCCTCTTCATCATCCTGTTCTTCAATTTTATTTTTTAGAACTAGTGCTATAAGTTTCCTATGTAAAAAGAGGTTATAAATGAATATTATCCTCTCTAAGATTCCATCCATGATAAATGAGAGAGCCACAGGATATGCAATGACATTAAACATATTGTGATACTCTATAGTAAACACTCTATTTCAGTTTTCTCATCTGCAAAATAAGTGTAAGTCACTAGCTGCCTTAAGAGTAATCACGAGGTGCTGGGAAGGTGGCTCAGTGGTAGAGCATTTGCCTTGCATGCATGAGGCCCTGGGTTCGATTCCTCAGCACCACATAAGCAAAAAGAAAAAAGCCGGAAGTGGTGCTGTGGCTCAAGTGGTAGAGCGCTAGCCTTAAGCTGAAGAGCTGAGGGACAGTGCCCAAGCCCAGAGTTCAGGCCCCACGACCGGACCCAAAAAAAAAAAAAAAGGGTAATCACGAAAGCTGGGTGCTGGTGGCTCACGCCTGTAATCCTAGCTACTCAGGAGGCTGAGATCTGAGGATCACGGTTCAAAGCCAGCCTGGGCAGGAAAGACCGTGAGACTCCTATCTCCAATAAACCACTAGAAAACCGGAAATGGCGCTGTAGCTCAAGTGGTAGAGCACTCGCCTTGAGCTGAAGAGCTGAGGGACAGCGCCCAGGCCCCATGACCAAAAAAAAAAAAAAAAAGAGTAATCATGAGCATTGACTGAAATGATAAGTGGACAGTGGCTAGTAGTGCATTTGGCATAAAAGCACTCAATAAATTTTACCTACTATATTAAATTACTATTAATACAAACAAAGCAAACTTGAATTGGGGAAACTCAGTTCACATATGTGAAGAAGGAGTAATGAGAAACTGAGGTATAGTTTATTGACAGTGAATACACACAACATACACACTGTCCTGGGTTCAATCCTCAGCACCACAAAGTAATAAGGTAGTTTATTGTGAGATACATAAACCAGTAGACCTTTATTCTAATATAAACTCTACCATCAAGAGCTGCATAATCTAGGATTTTAAAACTATGTGGTTCAGTTTTCTCACCTTAAATAAGTGAGGAATTAGATTTCGTGATGATTAAGATTATTTTCATTTCTAAAAGACATTGGTTATTAGTATCAGTGAGTGGGGGAAATAAAGCACTGTATCACAGAAAATAAAAAACAAAAGTAGAGTTTCAGATACAAATACTGTCATAAACTCCCAGTACTTTATTGTGTAGTAAAATTACAGTAAATAATAGCAGTAGTTACGCTTTTTCAATATACACTAGAAATATCTGGACTTGGGAAAATCAGTTCATGATGAGAGATGAGATAATATTACAAAGGGACAACTATGAATTTATTTACCAACTAATACTGCAAAAAAATTACAAAACAAATATCTCCACCTAACCTCTAGAACTCTAACACCAGGTAAACAATAATTGCTGTTTATAATACCAAATATAAAGTAACAGAGGTTTATATTTTCCCTATATATGAAAGTTTTGGGTTGAAATGGTAATGCCTAAGGGCTAGTTATGATAATTTAGTAATAACCCCTTATGTAACCTTCAAAAGTATACTACACAGGATGAGATATGAAAATAAAAATCCCAGATAAAAAGCCAAAAGGCCTACTTCTTGGATGAGGTAATTTTATAGCACTACAGAAAAGGAAACAGAAGAAACTAAAGTTCTTAGTAAAACCACTGGTTTAAATATGTTTAAAAGGAATACTATGCAAAAGTTCTATTAAATTATACTCTATATTTGAACAGTTAATAGGGGGATATAGACACATTTTAAAAAACTATTTAAAAAAACGTATTTAAAAAAATCAGAACTCCTATGCAGGGTATGTCTACAGAACATGTGAAATGTGGCAAAGATCTTTTTAATTATCTTAACATAGAGAACAATGCTAAATGACTACCTGAAACAATAAGAAAATAATAATCATGGACAAAACTGTGTCTGAGATTAGCAAAACATAATGTGTGCTAATGTGTTTAGAAAGAGTTGATAAAGAGGACATAAGAATAAAAATAAGTATAACATTAACTCACTTGACATAGGACAAGATCATTCTTCTTTCTAAATCCTGTTCTGCCAGTGGCATTCTGAATTCTACCATGAAGTACAACAGTTAGTCTACAAGTCTGGTTGTCCAATCATTATGAAAACTAGATGCCAGTAAGTTATTGTTTTACTGTAAGAACTCTCATTGCATACAACTAGAATTCAATCTTACCTCATCCACCACTGCCTTCCAATTCACATCAGTGACAAAAG